GAAATGTCTCAAAGCATTTTACAGATGATTATTGTTGAGGGTAGTTGGTGTTTTTGTAGGCAAACATAGCAATTATTTTCCACATAGAAGAGTCCCACAAATAGCCACCGTAAATACAGTGAATATATGCACCATTTTGCCCACAAAATACACAGTCAATTCACTTTACAGTGCAACAACAGGGGTTTATATTTCCACTCTGAAGCAACATGGGATACTCAGAGGACAGCACAGGGATGAGATGCAACATTTGCATTTAAGTGTGAACACATTTTGCTTAAATGCCATTGGTTTTGTTGAGTCAACAATGAACGAGATTCTCTATGCTTTATTTTGCATTAAATTCTTTACTTATGTTGTAGTCATATGTGAGTTAATCTTTATTTTATTGTCACCACAATCAGCTATTTTAAACATACTCACATAAGCCACAGTGTTAGATGAGCTCACTAGAACTTACAGCTGTCTGCAGTCAAACTCTTACTTCTCATTGTTCCACCCACAAGGAAGCCAAGGCCTTTTTAAGTGAGATAAAATCAAGTCACGTCCGTCCCTGCATACGGTTCTGATGTTTAATTTGACAGTTTAATTTGACAGTATTTTTGTGGTGGTTTTAAGGGCTCGTTTGGGTTGAGGAATGGAACAGAGCAAACGTCCGACAACTCTCTTAGCACGAGCTTCAGAAGATCGTTTTCCATTACCCTCAAAAGTCACTCTATTCTTCTGACTTTCCTGAGAAAGATCATAGAATAATGGGCACGTCAATGCTTTGTATCTGCAGCCCATATAAGTTGGGTTGAGGCTGCCCAAATAAATGTCACGTTACAGCCAACAGTGGTGAAAATAACACCATATCATTCTTCGCTGGAGTTACAACGTGGAGAGTTGTTTTTTTAAGTCTCTTGTCGAAGACCCAGGAACGGTTCCCAGAATCGGTATCTCTTGCAACGTTGGAATCTGCACTTATGCTTCAAAGCCATACCAAGTGCAAGCCTGAGGGGCAACAAATACCTCATGGAATTACCTCACAATTGTTCCAGTTACTTGATTTTATGAAGTCGTGTACCCTGCTACTTAGCTGGGAGCAACATAACAAACATAGCTACTTAAAGTACTGTATAAATACACTGTATCATCCACCCTTATATTAAGCTAATAATCCCTTCAAAACAAATATGCTCACTCAATATGGTCACGACTGTTTGTGCAACACTACTGCGCACAATTGACTGTTGTGTTCCACCCACAAAATATAGTGTCAATTCACGTTGCCGTATATTCTGTGAAGCCCTTTGAAATGTCTTGAAGACGTGACAAGGCGCTATATCAAATGCAAGGATTATTATTATTATTAGTGGATTGACTGTATATTTTGTGGGCAAAATATGACAGCCAATTGCGCACAGCAAATATATAATATTTCTACAATACTTTATACTTTAAGTAGTGGCTTCGGTCACCCTCCTACCCACACCCTCCCTGCCCTCCACCCCTCCTGATCCCAACCCCCAGCTCGGGGCCAAATCCCTGACTGTCCAGTGCCTTGGGATGTCCTCCTGACGTGAATGGTGCTATCCAAATGTAAGTTGTTGTTGGTGGTGTTGTTATCTGAGTTAATACAGTAAACTCCTATGAATATTTTCAGCGCAAGATACATTAAACATTGTGCCAAAACTGGCTCAAACTCTCCCGCATCAAGAGTGACATGTTTAGACTGTAGCTTTTTTGAAAGGTGAACTTGTTTCTTTCGCAGAACTGAGCTGACTATGCAGTTTGGTTGCCTAACACTGATCTGATACTAACAGTCTATTCATAGGAGTTGGATCTTGAAGCCAACTTGGAAACCATTATTACTACTCAAACTCCATTTCAGCTCCTCTTAAGCGATGCCACCTTGGTTCTCTCGGTCTTTGCCAGCTTATAGTTCCACTGTCAAGCTTCAAACAGTGGCACAGAGCTCTCCACATTTCTAACGCACAGAAGAGGTATTCTGGATGACAACTCATTCTGCACTAGACCGTGGTATGATGTGAATTTCCTCGACCGAATTTGACTGTACAATATTCAGTCAACGAGAAAACAGTTTCCTATTACACTGATCAGATTACCAATCCCATTTGCTTCAGTTCAATGAAGTTTAAATATAGACATGCACCCATCTAGACTGAGGTGGAACAATTAAGGATGTCACCTTAATTAAGGATGTCACCACGGCTCATTTCTAATGAATTTGCAGCCAAATGTGCAAGATGAAGCTCAATGCATAGAGCGTTAAAAATCGATCATATTTGTTCTAAATATTAGCAGAAAATTGGTCAACCCAATAAGACTGATTGTTCACCTCGTGGCTGTTTGTGAGATTTTTGCGGACATTATATTTGTGAAGCGTTTTGATCATGCTAAGAGGTATTCAGGGGCGAATACAGCTTTCATCCAAAGAAAGGTAACACCAATATTGCAGAAGTGTCAGCCGAGGCTGTGAGTTAAAAAGTCCCTGTTGTGGAGCTCAACCTGTTATCTTGTGACGTGAGATTGCTACCAACTGAGCCAAACACACATCATATATTAAACATTGTAATAAGGCTCCTGAATTAGCACAAGTTGTCACAGGATATTCTCTTTGGGACGTCCTCCCGACGTGAAAGGCACTCTATAAATGTAATTTTGTTGTTGTTGTTTGCATTATTGAAGCCAACACAATCGTGTGTTACTAAACTTGCGTAAGTTGGATTATAAAGTCCCCAGTACTTGGAACACTGCAACTTCAAAAGTACTAGAGAACACATCCAAAGTAACACAAAGGTAGCAATAAATAATGCAGGATTTTAATGCAGGGGGAAAAAAAGGACAAAAACATCTTCTCGTTTGTTTACAGGGACAAATGTCACGTAAATCAAATTGGACCGTATCATGGGGCATAATATTGTGACACTGATTGTCCTTCTTCCCCTTCAAAAAAAATTGTGTGCCGAACAGCGTTCTTGCAGAAAATGCAGCTGTAATGAGCAATAGAGCAACTTTCAGATCCAGCAACTTTAATTTTTACTCCTGTGTTTGTGTGTGTGTGTGTGCGTGGTTGTGTTTGTGTGTGTGTGTGTGTGTGTGTGTGTTTTGTGTGTGTGTGTGTGTGTGGTTGTGTATGTGTGTGGTTGTTTGTGTGTGTGTATGTTTGTGTGTTTATGTGTGTGTATTTGTGTGTGTGTGTGTATGTGTGTGTGTGTGGTTGTGTATGTGTGTGTGGTTGTGTGTGTGTGTTTGTGTGTGTGTGTTTGTGTGTGTGTGTTTGGGGTGAGTTGAGAGCAGAATTGTATATCCAAAAGGTAAATGGACTTGTGGGAAGCATCAAATTACATAAAATTCTAATGTGTGCCTACATACACACCCAAGAAGGGTTTATTGTGCTCAGAGGAACGGCATCTGTTCAGAGTCAAAGTCTAAACCTGAGACAGATAATTTTTCCAGCTCGCTTTATTCCCCAGTACGTCCACAGCACCAACACTGGGTCCGGTCCGTATGTTGTTTTAGTTCAGAAGCTTTGTGCATTCCTACAGATGACAATGCTAACAGTTCTACAAAAAAAATTTTGTGCAGCTACTTTTCTTTCTCCACCGACAGAAGTATTGCCAATAAAGACGGGAGATGTGAAGCCAAGATGTGAGAAGCCTCAGGCAGCCCCGCAGCAGTATGCTGGCTGGGGCTGGGGCGAGGGGCGAGGGGCTGGGTGGGTCTGTACAGAACTTGCACAGTGTCATTTCGGTGCTTTGCTTGCGCGGAATTGCCTTAAACTGGGATTGCAAAGGAAGTGGAGGGCTGCAGCACTCTACAGGAAACAATCTTAAGAGTTGGCCTTAAATGCCAGATTCCCTTCAGAGTTTTGCTAACCACTGACAGCTCTGTAAACAAAGAAAGGGGAACGAAAAGACAGAGAGAGAGAGAGAGAGAGAGNAAAGGCAGGCAAGCTTGTCCTTTTGCTAGTAGCCATTCCTTTCTCTTGGGCTGGAAAGGGATGCATTTGGAACCGATGTGATGTCTTAAGAGGCATTGATTGTACTGTGTGTTAATGAGGGGAGCAAAAGACATCAGGAGAAAGGTAGAGCAAGGTTAGGCAGACCACAGACGTTGGGCTGGTAAGAGGTTTTTTTTAATTTTCTTTGCTGTTTGCTGTGAAAGCTTAATTCTGGGCAGGAATTAAAACCATCGCCCAACTTCTGGGTGGTCCAAGGAGGGGGAGGGAAAAAAAAGTATGTGTTCAGCTTCAACTTCTTACTAAATCTATTTGTTTGGAACCGTTCTTAGTTGGGACAGATATTTTAAACCGTAATATACAGACAGTTTTTACGCACTGGCATGACTGCTATCAGAAAAATCTTGGACTCTTTGGATTGTAAAAACTGGAGTGAAGTTATTTCGGTTAGGAAACGGTTGAGCTTTATGTGACAAGACTTGCAGGTTTGCTCAAACAAAAAGAACCATTTTCACTGTTAACATCACTCATCACAGAAATGGACAGCGGGTTAAACCACATGTGAGCAGCTTTAGATTAAATCCCCCTGCCAATAAACCCTCGTACCTTCCTCAAAATCTGTAAGCAGTGTTGAGAACTACGGAGAGCAGAGGCTACCTACCTACTTACCTACCCACCTTCCTATCTATCTATCTATCTATCTATCTATCTATCTATCTATCTATCTATCTATCTATCTATCTATCTATCTATCTATCTATCTATCTATCTATCTATCTATCTATCTATCTATCTATCTATCTATCTATCTATCTATCTATCTATCTATCTATCTATCTATCTATCTATCTATCTATCTATATTTATTTTTGATTGTTGCAATTAACTCCAGATCGAGAAAAACTTTTTTTTTCTTCCCCATCCCCCTCCCCGTAATTCGACACAATTTTTGATTACAAAATAAACACAATTTTTCATTGAGTGAGTAACTGAAATGTGTTCCCTTGTGTCTGTCTCTCTCTTTCTCTCTGTGCAGATTTTTACCAAGGCATCAGAGCAGACACTTCAGCTGAGCGACATGGATATGGATGAGTTTGAACGTCGCAGGGAGGAGCGGAGGAAAAAGCGTGAGGAAATGCGCCGGGAGGTGGAAAGGTAATTACTTTACACATTCTGCACTGAGAGGTCTACTACCCTCGTGAAGGGCGCTATATGAATGCAAGTTGTTGTAGTTGAATCAACAGTATCCATCATTTTACATTTTCCCCAGATTCAACTAGTTATCCTAAAGATTGTTCGATTCCAACCAGTCCCATTTCTACCTTAATATGGGATCACTTGCATTGATTTGATCCGGAATTACACTAGAACAACGCATTTGACCCTGTAATGTTCAGTGGAATTAATTTAAATCGTGTTAAATTGCTTCAGTGTGCCTTAGCTTTTAAATATAATTGCAATGCAGTTTATTTGAGGATTAAAAATGCAGCAGAAACATTTATCAAACAATGTAAATAGCTGTAAATATGCCACACAGATCTTGTAATGTATGATCTCCAAATAAGTTTTGTTATACTGTGTTTAAACTGGATGTTGGGTAGAAAATCACCCCGCATTTGGTGATGATTCTCTGCCAAATGTTCAGTATAAGTTAAGGTTGAAGAGCATAAATTGAGCTGGAGCCCAACCCTTGAACGAGTTTGTTATCTGGAGGAGGCGGTTTCAGACACTGTGCAAGTGGAACCCACCACAAGATAAATGTGTCAGGTGGTAATCACATTGGACTCCCTCTCATACGGTCCGTTGAACAATATTGTGAGGTCCATTGAGCCACGAAAGAGCTTTCATTAAACCTTTTATTCTAATATTATTAAATTTCTGTTGTGCCACTATCACTGGAATAACATTTAAAAAATAACTTAACATCCAATTTTAGAGTCCTGTATCTGTGCAGCTTAGCAGGCGTTAGTTTTGAACAGACCTGACTTGATGCAATGCGGAGCAAGAAGTATAAATCTGTCTTTCCTGCTCCACACATGACAAAATGACTTCCTTTCCAGCAGTAAAAACAGAACTAAGCTCTCACATGTCACCTCAGTTCTTTCAGTCTATTTATGAATTACACAAATGTGGTACTTGTTCGAGGAAACTAAATCGAAGGCAGTCAGACTAATTTAAGCATATTCTCAAGAGACACTCTAAGGTGGACGTCAAGAAATGACTCACTTGAATATGTCAGCAGCAGTTTGACAATATCCTTGCCTTACCTACCTGGTGTTTGTGCCCAGTTGCTGAGTCTCATAGTTCTCAAAAGGACTGGGAAATAAGGAAATATCTCAAACACTAATTCCATTGCTAATAATGGACTGTACTGAATCGGTAGCCTGATTGAATGATTTGTTTTTCTGTCCGATAGCTGTCAGTCCTGCTTTCTACATTTCCCTATATGCTATCGGCCTTCAACAGCAATTAGTTCGTTCTCCCACCTCTGTGCCTGTATAAACAAGGAAGAACAGAGTTCAAAAGAAGGCAACTGAAAGATTGATACGTTTTCATAATGATATGTGTAAACACGTCATCCAAATCTTTTGCATATTTAGGGGCCAAATGGAGTAAGTAAATTATATTTGTTCATTAAATACAGTGGAATGGCAATTTTAGTTTGATCAAACACAGTCAAGGAGACTTAGGGTAAAGTTAGGAAACTGTCTCAAGGACATGTTGGAATATGAGCTAACAGTTTGGGAGGGGCAGCGCAGGATGGGACATGAGCCAGCAGACAATATTGCAATGGAAAGACAATGAGGGAAGCCCTGCAGTTTGGTTGCATTTGGATGAGCAGTTCCTCTGCAGTTTATTTTTACATTACTTTACTTGTGAACTGCGTGAATCGCCTGTTAAAGCTTAACATGATGACTTACATCTGTTTCCTATGATTGAGTGGGCGCTATTTTGCATTTGAAAAGTTGGTGTAAATCAGATTTTCCAGCAGTAACTGGCACAAGCCAAATTGTTCCACTGCCACTAATTCACAGAGCAACGGCATCCCTTTAGATGCCAGCAGCATTTTGACCACAGGGCACATGTGTTGATGATGGTGTGTGGCACACCACACAGACCAGATTAGAATGAAGTACAAAGTCATCCCAAAATAATATTCTTACAGCACCTTATCATGTCGTTGAGATACTTCAAAGCGCTTCACAGAATATACTGTAAAGTGAATTGACTGTTTATTTTGTTGGGCAAAACACAGCAGCCGATTGCGCACAGTGCAGTCATTTATCAGTTACTGCATTAAAGACCTTTGATGTCTCGTCAGTAATGAAAGTCTATTTTACAATGCAATTCAAGAATCCAAGAAAGACTGCTTGATAGGCACATCATAAGAGTACAGCATTTTACTCTTGGAGGAATTCATGTGAACGGAGCCAGCAGAATGATTAAAATGGTGCCTAATGAGCCATACAGACATGCTGTAGACTTATCCAATGCCTCCTAAGGTTAGCTGAATGCACTGCTTTCATTCTTGCTGGTGTATTGAAGGGGAGTCTGTACAGTGAATAGGATCCTTTACTTGAGGTGAACTTTTAGCAAAACAATATAACTCAAATTGCCTTGGGCTGACAAGCCTGACTGTACTTAAGGAGGGAAAGCGGAATTAGAGCAGTTTTATGGTTGGCTTTCAACGGTCTGATTTGTTTCATACATTCCAAAAACTATTCGATGCCAAGAGCAAAGTTATGCTTCTGATTAAGGGTCTTTCTTTAGGTCCAGAACTAACATATTAAAAAAAGAATACGATTGTGAATGAATGGTCAAAGAAATTGCATTTTGTAAACTGTTTTAGAATATAGAACAATATAACGTAAAGATATGAATCTAATTGTATGTCATGGCTGACTACATACTTATCCTTCAAAATGGTAGAGAGATTCCAAGTACACAGTTCGTATCCAATACCAAGATCAGAATAGGAGTTTTATCAAATTATGTGGATCTGTGCAATCAGTTTAGTGTGTAATTGCACGACTACTTGTGCTAGAGACCAGTTGATGCTAAGTTACCCGACCTCCATCAGTGCAGTGACCAGAGGTTTATCATTAGGTTTAGAGGCTCTGGACTGGAGAGGGCAAACTTCAGTTCTTGCTCCTGTTGGTTCTTGTATTGATTCCTGATGGAGAATGGATGCGTGTGGGCATTGGAATGAAGACAATTTGATCCTGGCTGAGATAGAACCATAGAAATATGCAGCACTAGGAGGCTGTTTAACCTGTTATGCCTGTGCTGGCTCACTATCCCATTCCTCATAGCCTTATAACCCATTCCCTCTGATGCTCAATGATTAGACACACATAAGAAGAATGGTTACTTAGGCGAGGTACTAGAGGTCTTCAAGTATTGATGGAATTCACAGCAATATGACTGCCTTCAAGAGGTGGTGGGGAGGGGAAATCAGAAGAAGATTTTTTGTTTCCTACTCATTTTGTGGAAGCAATGTATAAATAGTAGCACGGTCAAGAGTAACATGAAGAATAACATGTCAAGACGTATACAATGGGCCAAAAGGGTTCCTTCTGAGCCATATATTTCTATGGTTCTACGTGAGAACTGAATTAACAAGCCTTCAGATATTACAAGTTACCCACATTGCAACTGTACACGTCGAGACAGAGCCTGTACAAACATTAGTGAACGGAAATGCCAGCAGTACTATGACTTAATGCTCAATATTGCTGGTATCAGGGCCTCTTTCACAATGCAATGGTCAAAAATTTTTTTTACATATCTGTCGGCTTCAATTGATACAATGGATCTTTTTTTTCAAAAATAAGAAGCGACTCTTCGATTTCCAGCTGCGCTTGTGAAATTCCCACTGAAACATGCAATAAGAAACCAGTAATAAAACATCTGAGATGTCAGAAATAGCTCTATCGCTGCAATAATAAAGCTAAACAATTAAAATAAGCAGAACACAAAAGTATAATTCTACTTGCCCTATTGACCTTGTTTTTTTTTTAAAAAAGTTTAATCCTCTGCTCGTATCTCTTTTTATTTTTTATACAACCTAATTTTTCTGTACCTTATTTGCCAGGAAAAAATTATATCCTAAAATCTTTTCCTGCCTCCCTCTTGACTCCTGCTTTCCGCACTATTTCGGAGGCTGCAGTAAGTTTTAAAACACTGCATTTCAGTTGGTTTTAAAAGCCACTTGTCAAATGATATGAAGCAAGAATGGCCATGTGTGATTTTTTTGAGGGTCAGACGGGTGTCTAACACATGCAGAAACCCATCCCCATGCTTAAGAATATCCAAACCAAACTGAGTTCCAGGCATCCTACCCACGCATGGAAATTCCTGTGTTTGGAATAGAATGCACACTCTATTCCTGGAGGGATGCATCCTGCTTACCTAATTCTGGAGAGTTTTAGGTGCAGGCTGGAAGAGCCAAAGACTCACAGATGTACTGCTGGGAGCTTAAGCAGCTAAAACTGTATAGCTTGATATTGAGAGCATTGTCTGGCTCGCTTCCGCAGCTTGTCCAGCTAGGACCACCCTATCCGTTAGGGCTTTGGCTTGCAGGGTTGGCAGGAGCTGAGCGGGAAGAATCCCTGCCCACAGCACAAATGATTAACATGGACACTGTGGGGTGAACAAACCAACCTCTAAAAGATTTCTACCTGATAAGCAGAACCAAGGCTGCCGAATGATTACATTTGCCAGTGACCCATGCATTGGGTGTGTTATTTCCTGAAGCACTTTAACTGATTCATATTGCCATGGGGATGGAGGAGTTACTGTGCCCAAAAACACCAGAGATACTTACAAAGATGAGTAGGTACAGTCACTAACCCTGAGTCCTTCAGTGATATTAGAATTTGAACTGTTTAGATTAATTCAATGGCTTTTACTCAGTCAATGTCTCTTAATCCTTCAAGTCAGATCTTCCCAAGATATCATCAGCACTCACTTAACTATACAGTCCACGTTTCGCCCAGAAAATAAAGTCAATTTACTTTACAGTATATTCTGTGAAGCGCTTTGAGACGTCTCAAATACGTGATAAGGCGCTATATCAAATGCAAGGATTATTACTATTATTATAAATAGGCAGACAAACAATGTCCAAATTATTCTTATTTAATTTTAAACTG